TCGGGGCGGGACGAGGCCCGCCCGCGGATCGGGGTCGCCTTGCAGGACCTGGGGGGACCCTCGCCGCGCCCCGACTTCCCCGTGCTTAAAAGGGTGCGCGGATACTTCGGTCTGGATTTACCGAGGAACCCCAGATTCTTGGAACGACAGCTGGATTATCCGACAGATTGGTTTTTGTTTCTTCTCTGCCTTCTTGTTCCTGTCTGTCTGTCTGTCTGTCTGTCTGTCTATCAGGCATCCTTTCCTTTTAATGTTACACAAACGAACTGGGGCAGAAACTCCTTTGGGACTTGAGGAAAGCAGGACCCGAGGGTAGAGAAAGGGTCGCAAGAGCAATAGGGTGTAAGGGAATTCTGTGATCCTTCCTAGAAAGAGCAACTCTTGGAGGTTTAAACCCCGGAGACAAGTTACCACGAGCTGTTTTTTACTCTGCACAATTAGTGAGCAAAAGATTAAGCCAGTGTTTGAAAGATAAAGCCATTCAGGCTTGTATATATTCAGAGGAAAAGTCTAGAGTCCCGGACTTTTAAGAAGGTGCTCGCACAGTATACTATATACCGAATCCTGCAAATGGTTTCAAGGAGTGCTGAGATGATGGAACATGAAATTTCTGCTTAGATTTACTTTTACCCTTAGTCTCTAAATTAACAGGGTTGTTTTTTCTAATGCGGAATGTATATTCCAAATTTCTTTGCCTAAATGGATTGTAAGTACAAAAAAGTTAAGACGCCCTTTTTATGTTGCATTAAAAACAGACAGAAGCAAGTGTCTGATCTTTTGCAGTAGTATAGTCTCTTCCCATGTCAATTCCTAAGTCCCTGGATTCTTAAATATATGAAGAGAAGGCTGTGTTGTGTAGTTACATGTAATATCTATCTGTAATTAGTGAAACCTGGCCAAAAAAACGTACAAAGTACATATTAAAGTTTACTGAGTGCCAAGTCTGCAGAATTTTATATAAAACGCGCATAAATCTTAACTATTTTGTTAGGAAAATTAATCAGAGATACACTTGGCTACCTCGCTGGATGGACTCAGTGGTAGAGTACTTGCTTAGTATGCTAAAAACGTTGGGTTCAATCTCAGTGAACCTGCCCCCATCCCAAAGTACTTAATTTAGGAATTTATAAATAACAAAATGTTAGCATAATTATATGCATTATAGTTGAGAAATAGTAAAATGTCACCGTTTATATACACAAACCTAAATCTAGTTGAATTTCAGGTCAAGCATCACTTAATCTGTGTTAATGATAGTACTTTTTATTCTCTAGAAAATGAGTTACCTCTTTCCTAACATTCTTTCCTTAGTTAACAAGTTGTAACTATCTGTAGTCTTTTCTCCACTTCATAAGCCACTTCTATTGCAGAAGATATTTTACTACCCCACTGGTGTAGCTCACTATCCTAGGTGTGCAAGTGTCTTCAGACAATATGTATCTCCACTCCTTGGCATACCTGCTTTGTATATAGAATGGCAGGTAGAATTAGGTGAGAAGTTGAAATACAAAATGAAATTTTATGAAACAGGCCCAATATTTTCATTGGCTTTACTAGGCACATTTAAAAGGATATATGGAATACTTTTTGTTGTTTTAATGAGTGACATCCAAAGTAAAGAACAAATTAATTACCATTTTTACTGCCCATGAATAATTAAAACGCAGTGTTTCACCAAATAGGAACTTGGACATTAAAGAATTTTGAGTTCCTGTTTAACAAACCTGCATTGCTAGGCTCCCCTAGCTTGTAGTTATTTGCATAAGTTCAAGTCTTTATCTCACACCTTAATTTCCCTTGCAAAAAAAAGGCATTACTTAAAAGGATGTTGAACATCACAGAAAATGTTTTAAAAGCTCTTTGTGTAGTTACTCATATGTTGGTTCTATTCATCTGAAGTTTTACCCAATTTTAAGGATCTTTTGGCTTCCTCTTTGTTGTTTATTCCTGATATTGCCAGTCTTCTGATCTTTATGGTGTAGAAACTAATCTTCACTGACACTCTTTCTTCTGCTTACTGTGTTGAGACCACTGAGATTCTGTTGGAATGTTAATTGTATTGCCAGACAAGCTTCATATTTCTCCTAATTGCGTTAATCTTACCTATTTTTCATCTACTTCTTAATACATTTTCTTCTATTATTTCCTTTGATTTCAAAATACACTATAATGTATTTAATTCAGAACATTAACAATGAAGTTGTTTAATATAGAATCAATGTCTTTTGGCGAGTGGAATTGGGAATCTACCACAGCTTCTGAGTGGCAGTAATAAGTTCATATTGTATTTCTGAAATATCCTATGTATCTACAAGCTGCAATAATTCCTTAGTTATGGATTTTTAATTTATATGAGCTCCTAATTTCCTGTGTATCTATACACTACAGTCCCTTAGTTACTAATTTTTGTGTGTGTTTATATGTGCCTGTACTGGGTTTTGAGCTCAGGATGTAGCACTTGCGTGTCGACTTTTTTGCTTCAGACTGGTACTTTACCACTTGTACTTGAGCCCTGATTCCACTCCTAGTTTTCTTCCTTGGCTAGCTTTGAACCATGATCCTCAAATCTCAGCCTCCTGGATAGGTAGGATTATAGGCATGAGTGCCTGGCACCTGCCCTGATTTTTCTTTTTTTTGAAATTGTATATTTTTTATTGCAAAGTTACTGTACAGAAGGGTTACAGTTACAAGTAAGGCAATAAGTACATTTCCTATCAAGTGTTGTTAACTCCCTCCTTTGGTTTTCCCTACCATCCCTTGCCGCCCTATTCTCCCCCCCACCAGTTGTAAAGTTCGTTTTCAACATAGTGTCTTGTACATCTCATTGCTACAATAGGTCAGCTTGTATCCTTATTTCAGCATTCTGATTTTTCTTTTGAATTTATTTTTTTATTGATGATCTTCAGATGATGAGTGCTTACTGTATCAAGTATGGAGGTTTCTCCACATAGAGCTCCCCTATGACTCAGCAGTCCCACTTTTGGGCATTTACCCAAATGATCACAAACAAGACCATACTAAAGCTACACAACTATATTTATTGCTGTATTATTTACCATAGCTAAGATACGGAACCAACCCACATGCCTCTCAGAAGATGAATGGATCAAGAAAATGTGGTATATATACACAATGGAATTCTGTGCCTTCATCAGAAAGAATGACATTGCCCCATTTGTTAGAAAATGGAAAGACTTGGAAAAAATTGTATTAAGTGAAGTAAGCCAGGCCCAAAGAAATATAGGTCCCATGGTTTCCCTTAATTGCAATAACTAGTATATGTCTGAATCAAGCAGAAAAGGTCAGATAACTTGATGTTAGGGGAATGAACCCCAAGATATGTATTCAAAAATTTTTTTCTTTCATGCGATTGTTTCTAACATATTTATAAGATGATTTCTTTGTTGCTTTGTATGTCCCACCCTCACAGTATAACCACTGCTTTCACTGTATTTGATGTCGGTATAATTTGTGGAGGGGAAGAGCAAAAACAAATCGTTTAACTAGGGATACAGGTGGACCCATTGCAACAGTGAGATATACAAGTTGTTATGTCGAAAAACAAACTTTACAACTTTGGTGGGTTGGGGGGGAGGATTGGGTGGGGAGAGGTGAGGGGAGTATGGGAAGGAATGGGAAGGGGAAACAAAGAGGAAGCAACAATGCTTGATAAGAAATGAACTTGTTGGGCTGGGAAGGTGGCTCAGTGGTAGAGCACTTGCCTTGCATGTATGAGGCCCTGGGTTTGATTCCTCAGCACCATATGAGCAAAAAGAAAAAAGCCGGAAGTGGTGCTGTGGCTCAAGTGGTAGAGTGCTAGCCTTGAGCTGAAGAGCTGAGGGATAGCGCCCAGGCCCAGAGTTCAGGCCCCATGACCGGACCCAAAAAAAAAAAAAAAAGAAATGAACTTGTTATCTTGCCCATGTAATTGTAACTCCTCTGTACGGTATTTTCACAATAAAAAAATAAATTTATTTTTTTTAATTTTAATTTTATTTTTAATTGTAAAAAAGTAAATATCAAATTGTATAAAGCTTTATCAATATATTGAAAAGCCCAGAGGAGCTTTCTTGTTTGTTTATTCCAGAATATTTAAAACACCTTTTATGTGTGCTTATGTGTCTATCTGATTGATAACAGCTTTACTATTTTAACCTTATCTACTTCTTAATACATTAATAACTTTTTGAAAATATTAGCATTAAGTTACAAAGTGATACCTGGTTTTTTTGTTCCTTT